GTAGTAGTTAGTAGTAGTAGTAGTATAGTGGTAGTACTAGTACTAGTACTAGTACTAGTAGTAGTAGTAGTAGTAGTAGTAAGTAGTAGTAGTAGTAGTAGTAGTAGTAGTAGTAGTAGTAATAGTAGTAGTAGTAGTAGTAGTAGTAGTAGTAGTGGTGATGCAAGTAGTAGTAGTAGTAGTAGTAGTAGTAGTAGTAGTAGTAGTAGTAGTAGTCGCACTAGTAGTCGTAGTAGTAGTCGAAGTACTGGTAGTGGTAGTAGTTGTTGTTGTTGTCGCAGTAGCAGTAGTAGTATTAGCAGCAGCAGCAGCAGTAGTCACATGCCTCACACTCCTTAGCCCCATGCCCTGAGCGGCCTCAGCACCGCCAAGAGAACCGCAGGGTCGTCGTCGTCGTCGTCGTGGTTTTCGTCGTCGTCGGCAGCAGCGGCGGCAGACAGACAGACAGGGCGACAGAGATGGCGATGACGACGACGACGACAGGGACGCACAGGAACACCAAAATGGCTGCGTCGTCCTCCTCCTCCTCCTGCTGCTGCTTCCCCTCCCTTTCCTGCTACACTCCTCCTCCCGTGCGCCCGTTGCGTTGCGTTGCGTTGCGTTGCGCCAAGGGGGTGGGGAGGAGGGTCCGTTGCGTTGCGTTGCGTTGCGCCGAGGGGGGGGGGAGGGACGCCATCGAATGGTTTCGTCAACAACAGCAACAATTACTAGCACGTGGGGACACTCCGTTCTCACCAGTGCCAGGGTTTTCATAGGAGGCGGGCAATACCCCCACTTTGTGGGGGGGCCGGTTCAAGCTCTACCAAATTTCCAAACGACTCTTCGCCACCACCCACACCCAGCTTCCCGCCCTATGACGTTCGGACACTTCACTTCGTGGCATGCGGACGACCGTGGCTACTATTCAGGGCCCCGCGGCCGACGACGACGGCGTGCGCGCGCGAAGAAAAAACGAATGTGTCCCGCATGGTATTATTTGACAGGGATGATGGCCCTGGCAGGTGCGCAACCGTTGTTGCAGAAGTTCGAAAAAGTTGCTCGCAACAGCCCGTTTGACAGAAATGTTTAAAAAGTGTTGGGTTTCCTACGAATCCGCAAGAGCGCGCGGGATGAAATGTTTTTTTTTTTTTTTTTTTTTTTTTATATATATATTATATATATATTTTTTTTAAAAAAAGAACAAGAAAAACATTGTTTTGATGTTTTTATGTTAAAATCGCTACGAAAACTAAGGTTTTGGAAGGATTTCGTCTTGCGCGCGCGAATGTCCACTTTACCTTATTTTTTTGCAAGGGATTCTTGAAGTTTGGTTATGTTAGAACAAGAAATGTCCACTTTAGTTTTTTTTTGCAAGGGAAAGCGGGCCGTAACAAAACAACCGGATCCGGACCAACCCGTTTTGCCTGAGACTTCCTCACGAAAATGATGAAAATGTGGCTGCGGCCTAGGCGCGGCGGGGGGGTCGTGCACCAGGGGTCCCAACAATAATTATTCTTTAGAAGTAATAATGTTCAACAACAACAACAACAACAACAACAACAACAACAATTACTAGCACGTGGGGACACTCCGTTCTCACCAGTGCCAGGGTTTTCATAGGAGGCGGGCAATACCCCCACTTTGTGGGGGGGCCGGTTCAAGCTCTACCAAATTTCCAAACGACTCTTCGCCACCACCCACACCCAGCTTCCCGCCCTATGACGTTCGGACACTTCACTTCGTGGCATGCGGACGACCGTGGCTACTATTCAGGGCCCCGCGGCCGACGACGACGGCGTGCGCGCGCGAAGAAAAAACGAATGTGTCCAATATGGTATTATTTGACAGGGATGATGGCCCTGACATGCGCGCAACCGTGGTTGCAGAAGTTCGAAGCACGTGAAAAAGTTGTTCGCAAGAGCCCGTTTGACAGAAATGTTGAAAAAAATATTGGGTTTCCTCAGAAATCCGCAAGAGCGCGCAAGATGAAGTTTTGAATTTTTTTTTTGAAAAACCATTGGGTTTTTTCATGTTTTTATGTTAAAATCGCTACGAAAACTAAGGTTTTGGAAGGATTTCATCTTGCGCGCGCGAGTGTGCACTTCGTGTCACTTTTTCAAAGGATTCTTGAAGTTTGGTTATGTTAGAACAAGAAATTTCATTTTATAGTGTTTTTTGCAAGGGAAAGCGGGCGTCAACAAAACAACCGGATCTGGATGACATCGTTTTACCTGAGACTTCCTCACGAAAATGATGAAAATGTGGCTGCGGCCTAGGCGCGGGGGGGGGGGCGTGCACCAGGGGGCCCAACAATAATTATTCTTTGGAATTAATCATGTTCAACAACAACACCAACAACGCAACAACAATCCGCACTGCGGAACCCCACTTCAGCGTTGCGCCGGGGGGCGGGGAGGAGGGTTCGTTGCGTTGAGTTGCGCCGAGGAGGGGGCAGGGGCGCCAGTGAATGGTTTCGTCAACAACAACAACATCAATATCAACACCAACAACAACAACGCAACAGCAATCCGCACTGCGAACCCCACTTCAGCCACGCACCCAGGGACAGCGAATGACCGTTCGGCCCCCTCACTCTGACATGCTAGGGAGCCCACGAAAGACGTTAGCGCCCAACCACGTACATGAACACAGCCCCCGAATTCGCGAGACAAGCATCGTGATACGAGTGTTCGCGCAATGCGCACTCTCGAAACCAACGTGGATTCATGTACGTGTACGGACTGTCCTTGCTCCTGAACGTGCAACCGCTGGAGACCTGCGGCGGACGCGACGGCGGCTCCGTCGGCGGCCCCTCTGCTGGCGCCCGCTCCGCCGGCGCTGCGCCGGTCGGCTGCGCGTCCGCCGCCTCCACAGATGGCGGCGCCGGCGGCGCTGCCAGCGCGGGGACCCCGTCCGCCTCGCGAGCGCGGGCGCCGTCGTCGTCGTCGTCGTCGGAAGAGGAGGAGGAGGAGGAGGAGGAGGAGGAGGAGGAGGAGGAGGAGGAGGAGGAGGAGGAGGAGGAGGAGGAGGAGGAAGGTCCGTGGCCATTTTGGCTCAAGCCGCGACGCGCGCCCCGGGCCCCGACCATCTTGGCTCAACCAGGCTTGGCATGGCGGCGCGGGCACACGGCATGGCTGCGGGGGGCCGCCGCTGGCTGGCGGTGCGGGCCATGCACGCGCGCCCAGGACGACACCAACCTCGGGCGCTCAGCGGCGAGGCGGCACGCCAGGCGGCGGGGCCACGAGGCATGCGAGCGTGCACTCTGGCGCTGCCTGCACGGAGCGCGCGGCGAGCCCGACCTAGAGGGAGGGCGGCTGGCCTCTCTCGCCGACGACGTCAACAGGAGGGAGCGACTGGCGAGGCCTGCCCTCGCCGCCAGAGTCCAGGGAGTGACGGCCTGAGCGGAGCGCGTGCATGTGCGAAACTGCGCACTGCACGCCCGCCAGCTGCCTCCCGACGGGGCGCCCGCGGCGGCTCGGCGGGTCGCCCAGCGCGGTCCGCGACTCGGGAGGGCCTGCGCAGGCAGCTCGCAGCGCGACGACGCTCAGCACGCTGTGTTGTCCGCTGTGACCGAGGAATCCGAGGAGCTGCATCCCCCGCGTGCGCGGGCCCACCAGAGGCAGCGGAGCAGGTCGCCCACAAGTACACCGTCATAAAGATCCCGCCGCTGCAGCTGCCGCCGCTCATCCCACGTGTATCCTCTGACTACCGCGGCAGCGACGGCTGCGACAGCAACGACTTCGAGGAGCACTGCGATTTCGGCGACTCCGGCGGCGACGGCGGCACTTCCCGGCCCGCCGCCGCTTACCCCGCGGCGCGGCGGCCCTGCTGCGCGCGGCGGCGGCGGAGGCCGCGCGCGCAGCCACGGCGCGCCGCAACAGCGACCGCAAGTGCAACCATAAGGGCCCAGACGACCAGAAAGGAAAGAGCGTGTTCTGCTGTGCCTAGGGCCCGTTCCTGGGGCTCGCGGGTCGAGGAGCGTCGTCAAGCAGCACCCGTGCCTGTGGCCACCAGCAATGGCCCCCATTCTCCGACGCAGTGCGCACAGGATGGCGCGCGGCAGGCTGTGGACCTCGCGGCCGCACGCGGCGCCAGCCTGGGGCCCTGCACGCCCCGCATTTTAGAGAGTCTTGAAACGTCTAGAGACAGAAACAAACGTCTTGATCCTCACATGCTGCTTGCGAAAGTGAGCCATCCTTTTGGTCCTTGTCGCCCTGGAGAGCCGCCGACCACTTCCCGAATCGACGCCGAGATTGGGAGCTTGCTTGGGGACCTGAACCGTGATGCCTCGCCTTCTGAGCCGTTGAACGATAGCTCGGGCGGTGTCCATGTCGGAGCAGGCGGTCGCATTTTGGGGCGCGGGCTCGAGGCATTCGCCCTGCAAGGCCTCGCTGACCGCAGGCTCCACCGACGAGCGCGTCTTCAACTGCCGAGGGGGGGGCCGCAGCGCTTTGAGACAGGTCATCTATGCAGAGCCTCTCAGAAAATTAACAACGCGCTGTCGCCACCGCCTCCATGACCGGATTGGCCATGCACCCGGCGAAGCGCGTGCCACTTCGCAAGCCCTGGTTGATCGACCGAGTGACCTGAGAAGCATCCGACGTTGCATCGAACCGGGCAAGGGGGCGGGGGCGAGCGCAAACTTGGATTTCCAGGATAAGTGCGCGAGCGGGGAAGCCGTGCTTGAAAGCTCCTTTGACCAAGACGGCCACTCAATCATGTCATAGAAGCTTTTGATATCATAAAGTGCGTGTCCACTGGCCATGTTGAGACGTGCGTATAATTCTTCGTCGCGGGTCTGCACGCGCGCTTCTTTAAAGGCTGAGCTCCTTTCGTTCGCAGCGCCCCAAGACGAACAGTTGTCTGAGGACCAACCGCGCACAACAGGTTTTCGAACCAAGGGCCATACGCGGCATACTAAGCAAACCAACCCAATCATCCGCTCCCCCGAACTCTTCTTCGGGAGCAAGCGGCCCAGCACAGTCATGAGTTGCCGCGGCCATGTCGTGCACTCCTCGAACATGGTGAAGAGGGTGGCGAGAGAAGCAATGGCAGCGACTGGTAACCGATCTAGATCCAGAGGTGACAGGCGATCGAGTCCTTGCCCAGCCCTGGGCTTCACCGCCCGCAGGGCTGCACGTGCGCCAGCGACCGAGATCGGGGGGGGGGGGTCCTCGTGCTTGGCCACGTCCTTGATATCCTGGAAAGTCGCTTGGATCTCGAGCATGGTGGCGGGGTGTTGGGTGGGCCGCAACCTATGCCAGCCCCGAGCCTTCGCGTCGATGACGTCCCGAGGGTGGTGAAGAACTCCTCCGGGGGTGTCCAACTCGTCCGCGAGGGGCGGCTCATCCTTGGGCGCCTTGATAAGCGCCCCTGCACCGTCGCGCTGAGTAATCCACTTCTTGAAATCGGACAAAGACGATGCCATCGCCCGAGCCTGGGGGCGCAGCATGAGACGTGACAAATCCGCCTCTCTGGTCTCCAGATCATCCGCGCTAGCATCGCCCGAGCGATTGAAAAAACTGCTGCCAATCACCCCGCGACTGCTCGCCCGACCGCTCGCCGAGAGAAGCTCCGATCCCAGGCGGGGCTTGGCCCGGCAGCTTGGCGCCGCGCACGATGAGGGCGGCGACCTGCTGAGCACCGTTCCCGCGACGAACGCGGCGAGCGAGCTTGCTGACCATTGCGCGGGCCCTGGCCCGCCAGCTAGAGACCGCGTCGAGGACAGGCATGCCCCGAGGATGATCAGACTGCCGAACCTCCCTGGCGACCAACCGAATGCCGCGGGCTCTCGACAGTCTGGGGCGCCCCTCAACCTGTTGATGCATCCGAACACATTTCCCGGCTGACTGAATCCACGCGCGGAAAGCACTGCTAACGGGTAAAACGTAATCTTGGCCCACGCGGTAGGCAATGGTAGCCCGCGCGGGAACCCGAACATCGGAGAGTGTTCGGGGGCGCGACACCGAAGGGGGCCTGAGCCCTCCCCCGCATGGATGCGGGGAGATCAAAGGCGGGGTTAGCAACCGCTGAAGCGTCGCATCCGCTCGGTGAAGTGCTGGGCCCCAGGGGCGTCTGGCCGGGGGGGCCGCTGCATCGCCCTTCGGGCCCCCGTCAGAACTAGCGGCGGGGTAGCTCGCAGGGCCCGACTGGGGGCCCCCGCGATCCGCGGAGCCGTCGCCCGAGACGCCACTCGAGGGGCGAGGGGGGGAGGGGTGGGAACCGACAAAGTTGGAAATCAGCGCATGGGTCGATATCCTCGCCCCAGAACTCAAACTGGGCGCCCCCTTGAAGACCCGTGTCTAGAGGGGCCCCATCAGGCGACGGCTGACTAGCATCATTCGCTAAACTGACTGAAACTGATACAGGATCGCACCCCCCTTCCTTCCAGCCACCCCCTCCGGCGAATCCCCGTGCAACTCCTGCGCAGAAGCGGCGCGCCTAGCTCGGGCGGAAACCTTGCGGGCGAGCTGCTCGGCGCGGGCGCGGGGGGCCATGGGGCCCGGCTGGCCCGCGGTTTTGGGGCGCTGTTTTTGTGTTTTTGGGGCGGGGGCGTTCGGGGGGGAGAATGGGGGCGGGTGGCGAGATGGGCGCCTTGCCCTCGCAGCTGGAGGGCGAGCGCCGCGCGGGGTTTCCACGGGGCGTCGTCGATGGGGGGGGGGGCGAGTATGTACGGAAGAGCAGACTGAGAGACCACCGCATAATCGATCAAGGAAGCGCCTCCTGACCCGGCGCAGGTGGTCTCGGCGGGGAGCTGGATGATCGGCCCTCCAACCTTCGCGAGAAATCCGCTCCTGTCTAAATCTCGCGGGGAGAAGTTGAAATCTCCCAAAGCGACCCAGGGGAGTTGGAGGAGTTGGAAGAGGGCCCCCAGTCGGGCGAATCGGCGGAGGTCGTCGCCACTGAAGCCCTGGGAGCACAGGCCATATAATGCAATCAAGACCGCGCTGCCCCCTTGCAGATGAAGGAGGACAGGGGGGAAGCCACCGCAGGAGGAGGGGGATCCATCTGCACAAAGGGGCGCCATGGCCTGCTGCTGGCAAGAGAGATGATGCACTTGCCTGTGGCCATCACACAAGAAAATCCCCCCTCCCTCGTCGGCTCGCTCTACGCCTGCAGCGGTGGAGCACTTTGTGCCCGACTCAGGAGCGAGATTGACAAACGCGCGTAACTTGGCTGCGCGAAAACGCTCTTCCCATCGCAATCCTGTGGCTTTTCCGACGTGAGATTCGCCAAGAGAGAATTGCTGAAACGTGCCTGAAGCCTTGAGATGCTGGAGATACTTCCAGCTCTTTGTCGCGAGAATGGTAATGACACTGAAGAAGACCCGCGCAACTGAACTTTCCCCAACCGAAAGTTGGCTGCTAGAAACTTGGCAAACAGACTGCGGGGCAGTCTTTGCAGCGCCAGCTCTGGCCTCGATCTCTCGAGGCTTCATCGGTGCTGCGGAAGGTGCCGAGCAAGAACTCCGTGAAGTAGTGAACGGCTGCCTGGCAGCCTCGATTCCCTCAAAAGACTTGTGAGAGCACGGAGAGGGCTGCTCACCAAGCGTGGTCCCCCCTGGAGGCCAGGCCGAAGCGTGGGTCACTTGGCGGCCGCCTCGGCTCGCCACGGCGCCTGGGGAGCCCCCTCCCGCTGGCGCGGCGGCAGCTGCCGAGGCCGCCTTCGCCGCGGATTGAGCGGCCCGCTGCTTCACCTCGTCTTCTCGGGCGAGACCTCCGCGGCGGGCCCAGGCGGCGGGGCGGTGGGTGGTGGCGCCGGTGCCGCTGGGGCGCCCCCATGCTGCACACCGTCCTCGCCCTTCCTCTTCTTCGCCATACGCTCGCGGATGATGGACTGCATCTCGAGCGCGCGGGCCCGCCAGGCTGTGACCTCGCCACTGCGGGCCGACATCGTCTTCTTGGTGTCGAGGAGCTCGGCCTCTAAGCGCTTGAGCTCCTGCCTCTCGGAGTCGTCGCGCTCGAAGAGGCCCGCGTCCAGCTGCTGGAAAAATCCGTGTCCCAGGTCACGGTGAACAACTGCTGACTGCTGTGCTCCTCCTCCTCCTCCTCCTCCTCCTCCTCCTCCTCCTCCTCCTCCTCCTTCTTC